TGCCATGTTGAAGGAACAAAGTTATCACAGGACAGCATATGTCAAAAATACAGTTCAACACTTCTGTCAGAAATGTCATACTTGACAAACAGGTTGTGTTTAAAGGAAAACAGTCGGTAACTACCTTAAGAGACGATCTAAGTAAGGAAATATTGTCAGGGGAAAGATCACACTGACGAAACGTGATGTGTTTTGGCCGAGTAAAAGAAAAATATCTTGAGTGTGAGTAAATCTTAGGTCTGATCAGGATCAGGTTGTGGTCACTGGTGCCTAAGGGGGAGAACTATTTGGTGGAAAATGTGTCAGCGTGGTTTGTGATTATGAGAGTTTAGTCTAGTCGGTTCAATAATCAGGTCGCTGAGGTTTAGACACAATAAAGGGTGCAGGGGTGCGTGGCTAAAGTCACCAGCTATTAGATGCAAGCTGTCACCAAGAGGTGGGGCAATGACTGGTAGGAAGTTATCATAAAATGTGTCAATTTCTGACAATCTACACTGAGGTGCAATGTATAAGTTAGTGATGGCAATAAAACGAAAGCGGGAGAATTTGGGGTGACAGACGACAGTCAAGCAATCAACGCCATTCTGGGAATACTTAAAAAGTACTTCGGACTTACCGCACCAATTGGAATTGATGTAAGTGATCACACCACCTCCCAGCTTCTTCCTACACCGTGTTCTGTCTTATCTGAAGCAGACAAAATTATCCAGTTGCACCACGGAATCGTCCACATCCTCATTGAGCCATGATTCCTGAAGACACAAGACACCTGAGGTGCGCAATTCCTTTCGCTGGAGCAGGTAGGATAAGTCCGGAAACTTCCCAAACACAGAGCGGACATTGTTACTCACAATGGTAGGCACGGCCATCTTGCTGGGAATAGTACGACCAAGGGCAGTTAGCCAACCGGCACGAATGCGCTTTCCTCGTTTGCAGTATTTGTGCGCTTCACTAGCAACTGGCACTCCAAACTTAGCAATATGGTTTTTCGCAATAAAATCCTTAATTTTTAACATGAACTCCTTTGTATAAATGGTTAAAACACGCATGTTTAGCAGTTTGGGCAGATAAAATCCAGAATGCAACGGCGGCGAGAAATTGTAGCGCAGCCGTTCAAGGGGCGCACTTCGACCGATCAAAGCAGACCATATATCACAGCAGTTCTGGTTTTCCATAAGACTTTCGATATGCATCTGATTTAGGCACTGTATTTCCAGTTCGATTATTGCTGATAGATATTTGACAGCACTGCACCTTCCAATCCTGTATACCTACGAAGCCGTTTTAGAAGAGGTCAGGAGAATCTGTCAGTCCGAAAATATCAAGTCTCAACTGGGTAACACAGATCATAGCAAAAATTAAGATAACATGTAAGATACTCACAACTGGAAGAGTTATCAGCATCAGCATCGGCATCGGACAGTGAAAACGGTAGAAGAAACCATATCTCCAAGTCTGCATAGGTTGTCAGGAGTGCAATTTTTTCTTCGGGTGATTCTGGATGTAAAACGGGCCATCTGGTGATGAAAATATTTAAAGTAAATCTTGGGATGCACAAAAATAGATCTATGGTCTGAGCAACATATGGGACCTCTCTTTTCAATGAAAAACTTTCTGGGTTAGTTACAAAAATCCCATCAAGTTGGACACCAAACCGAGCAGGAAAATCTGCAAGATTTGTCATGCAAAAGGTTGTTCGGAAAGAGGTGTCAAAACGATTGAAAATTACCAGCTGCAACACATAGAGACTGGTCCAAATCTGACGCAAATTGTTATGAGAAAGAGTCAACATACAAAGGAATATCATAGACAGGCTTGTCGGAATCACTGTAAATGTTAGTTAGTATGATGTATGATGAAAGCCACTGAGAAATGGGGCTTACAATAAACAAAAATGCAATTTATCTTAAAAGTGCTGGAGCGAAAAAAATTGATGCGCCTTTTTTCATGATTTTCTGATGATGAAAAGTAACTACTCCGCCACCTCTGTGAAGGAAGTTCGATCGCCTCGGGAGATGTCAAGTTCATCTAGATGTACGACATTGTCTTCACTGTCTGGAGGTAGCCAACTTTCCTGGAGTTGAATTACCCCGTACTTTCTAACATTCCTTCTGATGTTCCATGACATCATCCTGATCGTAAATGCACGAGTGTCACCTAAGATAATTAACCTGAGCTTCAAATAATCAACGGAATTTTTCACAGGATGGGTAAAAGTCAGAAACTGATGTTTCTGCGCGATAAACTATATGCTGGAATTGAATAACATGAGGACTGTATGTGAAGGTGAAGCCCCCGAAGGATTATCAGTCAAAGAAATCAATCAAAACCATAGAGAGTTCAAAAACGTGCTACTGTATGCATTTGACCCTGAAAATTGAACAAACGGATTCAAACGTGATAACCGGGCATTGCTCCATTGTAACTTTAAGAAATAATATTATAAATATGACCATCACAGATATTTTCAATCAGAGTAGACAAGGGGAATTGGGAAATACAGCTAATCGTTGAGAGGTCACGCCTCAGCAACTTGAAAACTGCCCTCAGCGAACCAGGTAAAATCCTAGGGGAGCACTAAACGGGTATGGAGAGAACACATTGTTTAAAAACTTTCCTTTCCTCGATAAACCAAAAGAAAAGTGACGCAATCCTCCCATCTGAAAGAAAAGAACTTTCAGCTTTTGAGCAGCAGTTTGGGTGTGTAAATACCGGTGAAGATTGCTTTTAAGTGTGACACCGGAGCACTTCACATGGCACTTCACCCTGCTCATCGGTTTAACCGAAATCTGTACATTGTTGCAGGGAGATGGGGAACAGTTGAAAGTACAAATACGTTTAAGGCACTTTTCGGGATAAAGATTCCATCTGGATAAAGTGTATTACGGACTGAGATCAGTTTGTGTTATATGCAGCCAATGGTGATCATTTTGAGTTGGTGTCAGCTGTTCGTGTGAAATTTGGACCCTCAGTCGTATCGTGTGGAAATCAATTGTATTCATTGAACACAAGAAACCGGAAACTCCTCTCTGCAGTCAGTATAATGTTTGTCATTCTGTGGATTTCACGTTGGCCTGCAACGGTTTTCATTCACACACCCATCGTACAGTCCCAAAAAACTGAAAAGGCCAACCCCTCTCCCTCCGGAAATCGAGGCGGTCTGTACGGACGAGGAAATAATTTTCATATGGCTATAACCTCGACAACTAAATCGTGAAATCTGTCCGCTGGTCAGATGAACACAATGTACATGAACATAAGTTTTCGGGGAATTCATTTTCAGTCCTGAACAGTCAAACAAAGCTCAGTAAGCAAGCAATCCGGTGGGTGAAAGATTGTTTATCGATATTCGTAGTGATCATCTTTCCAGAATCAATCAAACAATACATAATGACAACCATTGTCTTATTACCCTGAAACAGAAGTTAGATGTGTGTGTGTGTGTATGGTACGAAATTTGGTAAGTTAGTTGATATCACCCTTCTCCACTTGAGTCATTTACTATCCTTGTCTTTGCTTTAAGCCAAGGCAGTTGGGGCGCTTGGACCAGTCTTATTTGGGCACAAGTTCGGACATAGTAAGCCAATGGCGATCGTCTCGACCATGTCTAGTGACTAAATTTGTGCCTGTTTCAATCAATTAAGTGGAATACAATAAACAACATCAGAAGCTTCACATCTGGTTAGGTCTTATATCCGGTATCTACGAAGGACCGTACGAGAGGGAGAGCCCATTTTCCCCTGACCTACCCATTGCTCTCAGTGACTGCACTAGACTTTCGGTGGGTGAGTTGCCTTTAAGCGAAATCCTAATGAATAGTTCTTTATTTATTTTTTTTTTTGGGGAGGGGAGACACCGATGAGNGACTACGAGATGACGTCTACCTTGGAGCGACGCGTTACAGTTTTGGACAACTGTGAACAATCAAACGTCACGGGTGACGTCAACAACGCGCCTGAATGTTACTGCCTCTGACTACATACCATAGTTAGGTTGTACCACCCAATCGGAGACCGTGCGGCCCAGACAGAAGCAAAACGATGCCAGGAATACTGGAACGCGATTGGTAGAAGTCCGGATGACCAATGAGTATATTTTATACATATAATTTAATCTCACTTATTTGTTCCAATAAACGAACTACCATTCCTGTGGCCTTTTCGCTGCATTTCAGTAACGTGCAAGTGCCAGTGTGGTCCAGTGCGTACGTGACGTCCATGATTGCTAATCAGTGATTCGTGTTCACTGCGTACTACTACTACTACCATTATCACAACCGCTACACTGCTGAACCTGTTTTCCGGTCTCCAAAGGCTTGACACTGGCCCAGATTGCGTTTGTATTTCACTGGGACGATATTATAGAAGTTCATGTTTTGACCAATTCATATCTTCTTTCTGTGGATCCGTCTTCTCGCCGACTCATCTTCTCTTCTGAACACAGTTGTATCCAGAAAGGCCAATATGTTGTTCGTTGAAACCTCTACGTTGAAGTCCAGTGATTGATGTGCTTTGTTAAATGGTTCTGTCGTCTCTTGCATGATATTTTACCGATCGGTCATCCTTATGTCTGCTTTACTGTACTAATACCCCAATAGTCGAGCTCAGTGTCCCCTGTTTCTGGTTTAGCCACAAAAATATCAGCTAACAACCGACCGAGTGGGGATCAAATAGCAAATCCATCCGTCATACGACAGATAACGCCGTTTGAACAAAAACTGGACGTTACGTGAACGAAGTAGTAACAGATGCTAACACCTGAGACGTCCTTGCTCTAGAGATGAGGTTTGATAAATGTTTGTAAATGCTAAAGGTATGTTAATTGAGTCTCCCGTCTCAACCGTAGCTACTATGGTTGAGATTCAAAAATCTGTTCACTGATTTCGGTAATTTGATGGGAAACACTTCATCACCAGACAAAGTGACCAGTGAAATGGAATAGTTGCGTTCCACCCGGCTCCATTCCCGTCACCATGCTTTTTGATGCTTCTTCTTGTCGTTTGACCGAGGCAAGTTGAACTGCAAGTGCATATGAATTGGAAATCAACATTTAGGCACTAATCGCTGTTTATCCACTGTGTGATGAACTCCGGAAGCACTATAAACTCGGTAGAGCTCTCCATTAGTGCACATCTATCGATCAATCCGAGATCTAACCTCCGAACGCCTCGTATGGAAAGTGTCAACTAGTGCATATCAGATTTGACACAGATTAACCAACTCAAGCAGGATTCAGGTGGAAAGTATAGACTACCTGGGTATCGCATTCTGATCTGAAACTAAGTACATTCTGTTGCAGACGTCTGAAAAAGTTTCCCTTGTGGATTCTGTGCAACCTCTGAGCCAGTTGGTAGGTACAAAATGAAAATATATGCGAGTTACCTGGGGAAGACAGACATGCACTATCAGCAAACGTGAACTGAGAAGAAAACCTTAATCAAGCTCTTCTCGAGTGCACAGTTGGGTGGAACAATTGTGCGCTCAGAAGATGGCTAAATCATAGTAGAAACCGGCATTTGGAGAGCTCATGCTTTTCGTCTGAATTAAATTGAAGAAATTTGGAGAGAAAACAAGTCACTCCATGTTGGCAGATAAAAAAATACAAAGATAGCAGTTTTATGTTTGAATCCGACGAACATAGCCATAGCTCTGTCAGATTCAAAATCCCGAATGAACACCACCCAAAAGAGTAACCAGCGTCGATGCGTGGGATTTAGCTATCGGTAGTTTGTACTTTGCGCGTTTTTTCTGAAACAAAATTTCGGTTTGCGGTCCCAAAGTGACTAGAACACATTCAAACGTGTGTGGACCGAAACACGTACTGCAATCAACGGCAGGCAATCCTCAATCTGCTAACATTCGGACGATATACGAGATTCCTGAATAATCGGGGCGTCATGGACAAATAAACGCGTTACATGTCGGTGTTTCGTCTGTCAGCTTTCAGCTGATAACTTAAAATTTTCGATAACAATAAACTAAGGTATAGTAAATATCAAATCCATTTCCACACCAAGAATAGCTTTAGTCTCTTGCGTTCCTTTTGGCGA